AGGTCAATCTCCGCTTCCGTTTGAGTAGCAGTTGAACCGTTGGCGGTGTGGAACATGATAGGATCACAAGTTCGTTGCTTCAAGTTCATCCTCTCGGCTTTCCTTGCAGAAATCAAATCGTGTCCGCTGCCAGAATCCAGGATGAATCTGCGATCTTTGGCTTGCACTGGAAGTGAAATGCACATTATATTCTTGGACTTCATGAGGGAGTTTCCAACTTCGTGCTCAACAAGCTCTTCAATAAAAGTCAAGTCATCACGATCATTGTCCAGTTTGATCAACATGTCGAACTTGGGGCCAATAATAATTCTAACTTCATCAACAAAACGATGGAGTCCACATCTGTCCATGATGATAGCTTTGGCCCGTGCCCGGATTGAACCGAGGGCGTTGTCGGATTTGGACTGATCGTCGGTCAGATCATCGACCTTCCAGAAGACATACGGCTTGTTGGGGTCACGATACATACGCTTGGGTAATCCCTCCTGGTAGTTCTCAATGGCAATCTCGTGCACTTCAGGTTCCAGTTCAAAAGAGATCCTGCGATCATCAGAAGACTTCTTTGCGCTGGCTATCCTCGGTGAGGTATAGTCCATAGAATCTTCATTGTCGCTATCAAAGAAGGAATCAATGGTAATGGGAGTTGCTTTCTTCTTTGGTGTCTTCTTGCTGGTCCTTTCTGAAGATGCTGAAGGCGATTGATCTGCATGTAGAAATTTACATTTGCTTCCGAACGTGCAGGTACCCTTTTGCCAATTCCAACATATCTTCTTCTTGGGTCCAGCTGAAGATGAACTTCCTCTACCTTTCCCTCTTGATGAATCTCGACTTCCGCTTCTGCCTTTCTTACCTTTCATCTTGGCATCATAGACCTTCTGAGAATGACTGTAAAGACATTTGTCACCTTTGTTGCATCCTCCCTTATTGAAGAAGTAATTACAGAAAATCTTCTTCTTGTCAACGGGTGAAGATGATCTTCCCTTCCCACCTTTGCCTTTCTTGTTGTTCTTGTCAGCATGGGATTTCGGAGAAGGTGTAGGAAGTACTGACGCAGCTTCACTCTTCGCCTTTGCCTTAGGTCGCTTGGGAGGATCACCTGTAGACGATGCAGCTGCCTCATTCTCCTTCTTGGTCTTGATGGGAGCAGCAGGTTTGTCAGCATCTTCTAGGGCAGGTGTGGTCTTGGTAGAGGATAATGACAGTTTCACTGCACGTTCTCTATCCTTCAACAGTCGTTCTTGCTTTCCCCGTGCTATGTATCCTTTGATCATGCCAGTTAGGTAAGCATAGGTCTTCTCAGGATGCCCTTCATCAAAGGTTTTGTATCGGTTGATATCGAAGGCCATAAGCTTTGAATGTTCAATCTTCCGGAACAATGTGTCACGCAGGGAATTGTTGGAAGGCAGATCATCATGTTTCATATTGTATACGATGTCAAGCCACTTGTTGTAGAAGGCCTCAAGTTGGTCATCTCCATAGTAGTTGAACATATACAAATGATGGGCATTGTAGAGAACTTCAGTGTGGTCAGGTGACTTGAAGCTAATCAGTATCATTGCGAATAGTTCTCGTCCCTTGATGAAGTCCCCACTTCTCCCATATAATTGGTTCTTCATGGACATGTCATACTTCACTTGCACAGACTTGTCCCCAGCATTGTCAATGACTTTCCTCAAGGCATTGGAGAGCTTGGCATCAATGGATTGGAATCTCACATCAGGTGCTTTGGCCAGAGCCTCCAAGTCAGGTTGATCTGCAAGACATGGAGCTAGCCATGCTTTCCAATCTTCATAGTTTCGATCTCCACTTGCAACACAAACTTCATGAACGACACTTCCCTTCCAGGATGAAAGTTCAGTGGTCTTAGGCCAGGGTTGGAGGCTTATCTTTTCGGCTTCTCTTAGAGATACGGATGACTTGGATCTATCCCTTTCAAGATTCTCCAACTCCTTGACATTGATGTTGTACTCGTTCCTGAGCTTCTCGAAGGCTTCAGCTTCCGCTCGGTATTCCTGCTCTTCATCATTGGCACGATCTTCAGCTTGAGAGAAACTGTTCTTGTAGTAATCTTTCCGATCTTCCATCTTCTTCAACTCATCTTGAAGATTTCGAACTTCAGCATTCCTCTCCTGCTTCATCTCGTCCAACTCTGCTTTCAGTTTGGCACACTTCTCTTCACATTCATTCCGAGGCATAGCATTACTGGGGTACCCATGTAATGTAGTCGGTCTATTCATTGATGAAGAAGAATGAGCTTGGTTTTCCAACTTCAAGGCAGCAATGGTGCTCGACATCTCTTCTACCTCAGCGAAACGCTCATTGGCCAATTGATGCATCTCGGTCAAGTGGCTTTCAGGAATGGAATAGTCAGTCGCACCTTTGATCACGAGTCTTCTGTCGTTCAACATCTTGATGGACTTACCTGCATCCCTGTGAGCACGCTCTAGAGAGTCCTTTTGGGCTTCAAGTTCAGTATGAAGGCGAGCAATAGCTGTGTCCCTGTCATTGATTTCATTGTGCAAACTGTCGAACAAGTTACTCGTCACGTTCGGATTGTTGCTCATGTGATCGATCTTGTTCAGAGCATCTTGATATTTCTTACCAGTTTCATCGAAGTTTCGCTGGAAGACTTTGAGCAGGTCCTCAGTGTCAATGAGTTCAGTTCTGTTTTGCAAGTACAATTTGTCAACTTCAGCCTTGGATTCCTTCAAGCTGTCACGCTCACGCATGGCTTGCATATACATCTCGTATAGAGGTCCTCCATGCGGTGATCTGCTTGGTGAAGATCTTCTGGCTTGTTGACAGGAAAGTTCATGATACTGATTCTTCGATTCAGTCAGTTGTTGTTGCATTCGATCTAACAGACTTTGTTTCATGTGTAGTTCAGAACGTAGTCCCATTATCCTCATGTCCCGCATGCCGCCTGATTCAGCTAGAGATTCTTCAGAAACCCTGTTCTCAGAAATCGCTAGTCGAGATTGTAGGTTCTCATTTTGAATCATCTGCAATCGAAGTTGCGATTCTTCCAAAGCTAAATGATGTTCACATTCTGCATAACGGTCATGTTCAGATCTTATGTTACTACGGAACTCCTTCATGATCTCATCCCTCTTCGTGTCAGCAGCATCGAGCTCAGTTTCCAATCGTCTGACGTTCATGGCCATGGTGTGCTTCATTGTCTGGTTTTGATTGGCAACCTCGAGCATCTCGATCTGTAAAGCACATGTTTGGTCATTAGCGTAGCCGACCGCTAGAGCTTCTTGCTTGGCATTCATCTCTGCGTTTTCCAGTTCCAGTCTGAGTTGATTGATGTGAGCATTCGCATCAGCGCCCACATGTACCATGATTGCGCTCGCTTGTCCCATTTGTTCATCGAATTCCGAACGTAGTCGTGAATATTTGAATTCCAAATGAGATGCAGCTTCATTCGACATAGTCTGATACCTTTCCAACTCTTCGATCCTGTAGGTCGCACCTTCATCTTCTTGTTGTGCAGCCTGTAACTCGAAGTTCAGCATCTGGAGTTGTTCGGTCATCGACATCATCTCTTGATGAGTGGTGTTTTCCAGGAAATTAAATTGTTGATAGGCATATGCTGTCGTCTCAGTCAATCTTGCCTGAAGTACGGATTCCTCTTCAGTGGCCTTTTCCAGTGATGTCTTGTATTCAGTTAGTTCGCTCTGATAGGCAGTGAAGATGTCGCTACCACTCGACGGGGCGTTCACTTGCTGATAAGATCCTGTCCCTGATGGAGTAGCGTCCTGAATCGGTGAAGGCGGATTCGACGACGTAGTCTTTGCCTTAGTCCTTGGAGTCATCGGAGGCGACAATTGTCGTGCAGATGATCTTCTCTTTCCAGGTGTGCTGTCCCTATCTTCAATGGCTTGCATTGTCGAAATTTGTCTCCCTCTAGGAGCAACCAGAGGTCGCCTGGGTAGGCTTGTTCTCAATTCTGAGGCATCGCTTCCACCAGTGTCGATACTCTGTGAAGAATTTGACTGCGTGCCGGCAGCTGGTGCAACGGCATGTCCAGAAAAAGAAAATGCATTATCGCTGCTATCCTGTTCAGTCATCTGTAAGGCCCGCGGCTACCCGCTCGTAGGCTCCGTAGGAGTCCTACGGCTGATAACCTGAGAATCGGAGATTGCCTGTCCGATTATGTTCCGGTAGTTGGATTTGAAGTAAATGCTCCAATGATGACGTTACACGGGCAGCAGCTTCCGCATGGCAGTTCTTTGTTCTGGTGCTGCAGTGGGTCTTGAGCCAAGAGGCCAGTTTGAAATACCCCTTTGGCATTGGATCCTAGAGTGTCGAATTATATGTGAATATACAATCGTACGTAGCCTACACTCTATTCGCATGTATGTATGTATGTATGTATGTATGTATGTATGTATGTATGTATGTATGTATGTATGTATGTATGTATGTATGTATGTATGTATGTATGTATGTATGTATGTATGTATGTATGTATGTATGTATGTATGTATGTATGTATGTATGTCATGTATGTATGTATGTATGTATGTATGTATGTATGTATGTATGTATGTATGTATGTATGTATGTATGTATGTATGTATGTATATACATATGTATATACATATGTATATACATATGTATATACATATGTATGTATGTATGTATGTATGTATGTATGTATGTATGTATGTATGTATGTATGTATGTATGTATATACATATGTATGCATGTATGTATGTATGTATGTATGTATGTATGTATGTATGTATGTATGTGTGTATGTGTGTATGTGCGTATGTGTGTATGTGTGTATGTGTGTATGTGTGTGTGTGTAACGCAGGACGCAATGTTGAACCAGCACACTTGTTGATTCCACGTCATTTCAAGTTGCATTCCAGGAAAAGCCTAAAGAAATCCACCAAAACTTGAAGCCAACTTGAAGCCTCCACCTTTCTTTGCATAGTAGAGGTAGAGGTTTTGACCTGCTGGCAATGTATTGACAGCCTGGTACGCGCCTGAGCCCCAGTGTTCTGCATGAGGAAGCTCAAGTCTCTCTGAAAGTCTGAGTAGGCCTTGCCGCTCGGCTATCCCCATCCCGAGTAAGCTCACCCTGCAGGGTTGAATGGTTGAAGTAAAGCATGGATATGCATCGCCAAAACTAACATTTAACTGATGCTGCACTAGGTTTGGAATTCTCAGCTCCAGATGTTCCGTGCAGCCATCTCTGAGTTTGATTTCCAAACAACTACAAGTAGTTTTTTTATTGCAGACGCATCAAACAAAATTCATTGAAACAGATGTTGCAGGTGAAGACGTCCTACCACTCGACGCAGGTGTGCCAGGCACCTTCGGTTGCAACTTGGCAAATAGGCCTCAAGTTTCATGACTGGTTGCAGTGCTATGCCAGTAGAGATGAGGTCATGATCCGTGAAAACACATCTGAGTTTCAGTTCTTGCAGAAAGAACAAGATCCATCAGTTTGACGATATGTAACTGTCGCATACTGTCACATACTGGCACCATCTATCACTTGTATCATGCGTCTATATAATATTTATATATTTCATATGTTTTCATATCATGTTGATAGGCACGACATTTTGGTCAGTTGGACCAGGTCATCCCCGGGGCCCGCCACCTGGCATCAGTGCCAAAAACTCGGCTCCCTCTCCAGTGCTGCGGCGCTCAATAAGTGCTTTGGCCTGGCACAACACGAACCTTGGAGAGCCGAGAGATTTCGAAGGAGATTCGAAGAAATCTCTCCGAGGTCTCCAAGGAGTCTCCGAGATCTTCATTCGGCCAGTTTTTGATGATTGTGTGCGTTTGTGTTGGTTTGTGTGTGTGTGACTGACGTCCTTGCGTGTCCAGGTCGGTTGGCATGCCTTACATGTCCTGGTTTGTGCATGTGTGAAACGTATGTCCTTGTGCATGTGCATCTATCTATTTGCATGTTTATATCATGTTCTTATATACGAGCACATGAGTGTCAAAACCACAACGGTTGAAAACTCACTTACGGCCATTCACCCTCTGCCTCTTGGATGGCACCGGAAAGCCCGGTGAGTCGGATGCCGGTGCCCTGGTCGTTCTTGCAAACCTACAAACTGATGGCGGTCAACAAATGACAACCGCAGCTGGATGATCAAGGATCCGCAAGGATCCGTCAACCATCCAGGCTCCAACAGTTCTACCCTCATCCAGTCCCATCTGGTGCCTGACCCCACCCGACGCTTGTAACCAAGAACTCGCTTCAGCTATCTTCGGCCATCTCTTTACCAAGCAGCATACAAATTTGAACATGAAACCTTCCCACAATACAGGAACCGCAAGACTATCCGTCCCGAGAAAAAAAACGCGCTGACCTGCCTTTCTCTGTTGCTAGTGGGCATAGTTGTCGGCTCCAGGACGTCTCTGCACTAGATAAGACCCGGAACCCCCCCAACGTCAAACTCAACCAGGGATGTCAATTGCGGTTGGCCTATCCCTGCGGGATAGAAATGTTGTTTCTTGGAGTTTCTCTGCCTCCTGTGAACCATGCCCAAACAACACAGACAGCCTCCAACGAAACCTTCTGCCTTCAACTCTTAAACCACCGCAAGCAATTCTTGGCCACGCCGAGAAACATTTGCAGTTAGGCCAGTTTGATCTTGCAACTGTCTCAGGGCGCTGTCGTTAATCACTTGATTCCTTGGTGTGTTGTGGAAGTGGCCTGGACCAAAATCCAACCCACAAAATTTCAAGAAATGCGTTCAGTGGCATAGGTTCAGTTTGACGATTCAGTCCATTTGCAATTCTGTGTCCTTCAACTCTCACTCTGCAGGACATCTAAACACAAAATAACACAAAACCATTATTTTAAACCCTTTTTCCCGAATGCGTAGCACGGGTTCCCGTTTCACTCCGGGGATTTGGGGGTTCAGGGTGTGTTCGCTCAACGTTGCGTTTGCATCCGCAGCCGTTCGCAACCGTTCGCGTGAGGTCGCTATGGCCGTGCCTATGGCGAATTTTGCAAAAGTGGTCATTTCTGGAAGTTTCAAACGTCGTGTAGCCTCGTTTCGGGTGGCAGGCGTGGCACTTTGTGACATTCCAACATGTTTCCTAACGTGTCGAAAGTCGAAGGCGCAATACTTGCGCGTCATTTTCAAACGGTGAGTTGCATTTTTCGTCGCAGGCGAGCACTTTGGTGACCTCCATGGTCATTTTGCGTGGCAGACGCCGCACTTCAGACATGTCGCGTTGCGTGTTTTTTGCAAATCGCAATGTCAAGGCTGCGACAAGCGGTGCCAACGTGCAGATTCCGTGGCAGGCGTGGCATTTATGAGGTGTGCTGCAAATTGATGGAAGCCTCACACGACATCGATTTTGAGGTAGCAAATTTTGAAGTTCATGAGAAAACCCAACGGAAAACGCTGATTTTAAAGCTACAAAGTGTGAAAAATTCAGGAAGTCTCGCACGAAACGCGGGTTCTGAGTTTCCAACATGTCTCGTCTTCATGCTCTGGTGTTCTTGTGGCGTCGCCGTGTCTATGGGGGAAGCTGCAAAGCCTCTCATTTTCGAACAGGTTCTAATGCCGTTTTGCGTGGCAGGCGTGGCACTGCGTGACATCTTGACGTGTCTGCAAAAGTGTCGTATGTCGTTTTGTGTGACAAGCACAATACTTTCGGAAGGTTTTCAGAAGATGAGTCGCATTTCTCCCGGCAGGCGCAGCACTTTGGGTACCTCCATCATCGTTTTGCGTGGCAGGTACAGCACTTTAGACGTGTGCTCTTGCGTGTTTTTTGCGAATCGCGTTGTCAGGGCTGGGTGAAGTGGTGACAACGTGCAAATCGCGTGGCAGGCAAAGGATCCTGAGCGTGTCATTTTGCGTAGCAGGGGCAGTATTTTGTCCAGATCAGTTGTGTGTTCTAATGTGATTTTGCGTGGCAGGCGCAATATTTCCGACACTCCGCGCTTTACACTTCAGACTTGACACTCTACACTTTACACTTTACACTCCACATTTTACACTTTACACTCCACACTCTACACTCTACACTTTACACTCCACACTACACTTTACACTCCACACTCCACACTCTACACTTTACACTCCACACTTTACACTTTAGACTTGACCCTCGACTCTACACTCTAAACTCTATACTCTACACTTTACACTTTACACTCCACACTTTACACTTTACACTCCACACTCTACACTTTACACTCTACACTTTACACTCCACACTCTACACTTTACACTGTACACTTTACACTCCGCACTCTACACTTTACACTCCACACTCTAGACTTTACACTCCACACTACACACTCTACACTTTACACTCCACACTTTACACTTCACACTCCACGCTTCACACTTTGCACTACACACTCTACACTCTACACTCTACACTTTACGCCTTACACTCCACACTCCACACTCTACATTTTACACTCCACACTTTACACTTTAGACTCCACACTCTACACTCCACACTTAACACTTTACACTCCACACTCCACACTCTACACCTTACACTTTGCACTTTACACTCTACACTCCACACTTCACACTTTACACTTTACACGCCACACTCTGCACTCCACACTCTACACTTTACACTATACAATTTACACTCTACACTTTACAATCTACACTTTAAACTCCACACTCTAAGCTCTAAACTCCACACTACAACTGCACATTTTACACTTTACACTCCACTTTACACTTTACACTCTGCACTCTACACTTTACATATTACACTCTACACTCCACACTCTACACTCTACACTTTACACTCCACACTACACACTCCACACTACACTTCACACTCTACACTGTACACTCTACACTTTCCACTCCACACTCTACACTCAACACTCCACACTTTACACTTTACACTTTAAACTCCACACTCCACACTCTACACTCTACACTTTACACTCCACACTTTACACTGCACACTTTACTCTCCACACTCCGCAATCCACACTCTACACTTTACACCCCACCACACGCCATACTTTACACTCCACACTTTACACTTTACTCTCTACACTTTACACTCCACACTCTACACTCTACACTTTACGCTCTACACTTCACACTCCACACTCCACTTTCCTCTCCACACTCCACACTCTACACTTTACACTCCACACTCCACAATCCACACTCTACACTTTACACTCCACACTCTACACTCTACACTTTTCACTTTACACTTTGCACTTCACACTCTACACTTCACACTTTCCACCCCTCGCTTTACACTTTACACTTTACACTGCACACTCCACAATCCCCACTCCACAATCCCCACTCCACACTCTACACACTACATTCCCCACTCAACACTTCACTTTCTTCACACTCCACACTTTGCATTCCACCCCATTCCACATTCTGGTACGGTAACAGGGGAAAAAGGTACAAGCCTTTTCAAATAACTTGTTTCACAAATGTGTTTTACGTGACTGCATTCGGGTTCGTGGGCTGCATCTTGTTCTGGCTTCTGCAAGTTGATGCCCAACTTCAGCCAGGGCACACAATGTTGGCAGGCACACTCACGGTAAGGGTATCGACTGTAGTGATGTCCTCCATCCTCAGTTCTTGCTCAAAATACCAAGCCAGGTTGAGCCATCAAACATGAAAGACAGGTCTCATCAAAAATGCAGTCTGCCTGGTCAACTGTCCTAATCTCATCTCCGTTGCCAGCGAAGTGAGTCTAAGCGTCAAACTATATATTATATAATTATATGTTTATATCACATGCACTTCAATGCCAGGGGCCTTCTAGTTTGAAAAGCCGCAGTGCAGCAGTGCCGAGACACTCTTCCTCAATTTTTTCTTTGGCGTCAATTGCCTGAAATAAGCAGCATGATACCAAGATAGTACCTTGCCAAGAGTTCACTCATGTAAGTTTACAGGCCATGACGCGCCAATACGCAGAAAAATTAATCCAAGCTCTTACCCGTCAGAGTCAGAGTGAAAACTTTGAACCCCGCTGATCTCCAGGGCTGACCCTGCTACCCATATTCATCCCTATTCCAACCTTGTCGTGGTCATTGTCCTTGCTCCAGATGCGCGCAGAGCGAGCGTCCAGCCTTACTCTCCGATGTTGGGCCATTCACATGTGAATGCAGTATTTGAATATACAAATTAAATGGAATATCAAAGATGTAGAAGCATCAGAGCGCATCCTTTCCAAGCAATGTCTTGAGGGTGCAATTTCAACCATCTGTCACCCTGTCACGCATCAGCGCAAAAATTCACATCCCAGGAACTCAATCCTAACGTTCATGTCCTGCTCGATGCGGGCTTTGATTTTGGCCAAGTGCCCCATAGACATCGGCTCGATGTTCCTGGCAGCTCACATAGCCATTCATACTGATTTGTTTTGGGAACGCAACAGTCCCACCAACCTGAAACCCACATGATGTGATGGCAATTTATATTCATACGAGACCAAACTCAAATATTTGCTCTTGGCATTTTTTTGCGGCTTGGAAGAGTTTTCGTAGCGAGTTTGGATCATGGTTTTTGGAAATCCAGTGGAAGAAACACAATTACTATTGTCAGAGTCAAAACAATGGCATTCCTTTCTGATGCTTTCTGAAGCACTAAAAAAAAGATACTTATGCAGCTGAGCGTCTTAATGAGCACTGCTCCATCCAACTGGGCCAGCACATCCTGAGAAGAAATGGTGACTCCTAGGCTTTATAACCATGAGGAAAAAACATGAAAAAACATATTCTTCGATACTCACTGGATCTTCGTCCAGAACTTCGTCACTGTCCTAACTTCATCTTCCCAGTGACGCATGGAACTGGCCGTGCCTTGGGTTCCTCACCCATGAGGACACCGTTGATGGCCTCCTTGCACCTGTACACTGACCGAGTGAGTGTCCAGCAGTGTCTAGCAATGCCTAAGAGTTTCAGGGCTTTTGGTCCGAGTTCTTGAAGACATTCAAAGTTTTGGATTCACCAAATGTGTTGAGAATATCGATTTGGTTTATTATATAATTATATATAGTTTTTTGTAATAGGATCACGTTTTTTCTTTAGAGAGTTGCGGATCAAGATATTGGCACCTCGCGATCTGCTCTTTTGTGCCCTGGATGATGACCTTCCGCAAGCTAGGGTCGTCATTGTCACCTGCCACCACTCAGTTTCAAAACCCAACAAAAGTGGGCCTATTTTGTGGAAATCTCTAGGCACAGTTGACATGACCATGGGGACGGTGTCAATATAATATAACTCTCATGCTGTGCAAGATGCCATCCTGACTGCAACCTCTCCCGGCACAAGGAGAAAAAAACACCCTAGAGGCCCACTTTACAAAATCACCCTGACCAGGCCTGACCACTTGGCAACGTCTGAAAATGTGTGAACATTCTACGTCTCAAGATGTCTCAAGTCAAGATCTGTTCCAACGTCCTTTCGTTGCCAAAGTTTCCCTCAGCTAGCTAAGGTCTACCTTTCAGTTCTGCATTTCAGCTCAGCATTCTCCTTGAATCAACCTGGAGTACATGTTCTCTGAAACTGATTTCCGGTTTTCCATCTCAACGCTGCATGGAGTTGTAGCATTTAAAATTATTACCAACAAAATACCCTGTCTGAACACAATGATTTACCATAAGTAATGCAGTTGGACCCTTACCATCAAGTCTGATATTGTCAAACTATATATAGATCCAGCAAATGTGTTGAAACTAAGCATCGATTGACTCTCAGTCATTCCATTGGCCGGAAAAAACCTTTTCAGCCGACAGCTGGTGGAAAAACACGACTCTGGTAAATGAGACAATTAGTTTATGTATATTTTTTTGAGGGGAATTGTTCCGGCGAAATATCAAACTTTGCAAGTTCTGGTCGATTTTTTTCAAACATTCTGGCTGGGATGGAGGATGTACTGTTTTGAATTGTGCAAAATGATAATTTGACCATGTTTCTGCGATGCATGGCGCATCGGTATCATCCTCATCCAGACTGCGCCTCGCTTGTTGGGCGTTATGATCTTGCACTTGGTGCCTTCCTGCGCAGGATTTTGTTTTTTGCCCATAATGACAGCGACGAATTAATAGCGACCAAAATCCATTTGCGAAATTCGCATTTTGTTAAGAAAACATATATATACATATATATATATATTATTTATTTATTTTTTTCACCGGTGACAGCTCCTGCAGATCTCGGATGTTGCAACCACCACGTCCCACAATGCGACCGATGTCACGGTCATCCACGTCCATCTCTTCCGTCTCACCTCCCAGGCCTTTTGCAAATGTTGATATATGAAACGATGAAACAAAGCTTAAAACAAGGATTTGTTTGTCAAAGGCACAAGGTACTTTTCAAAACCGAATAACGCCAAAACCACAATATATATATATACACACAATTTCGCAGAACGTGACTGCACTTGGACAGGCAAACACAAATCAAATTTTACACATTTGCAAGAACATGCGTCAGATAAGGAAAACATTTCCACATGTTTTTTGCATTTTAAATGTGTATAAAACAAAAAAAAACATACATCCACCATACATTTAATTCAGAAATGTTCAGATCCGACGGAACACCAACCTTGTATCTAATCGGAATTGCGGTAATTGTCTGCCAGGGAAGCGAACTTTGCTGATGGACATATATGGGCAGATCGTGTTTTTCCTAAGCCAAGGCACCATAGGCACCGCCTCCGCCTCCACCATAATTTCCTCCTGGGCCTCCACCTTTACCACCGTATTTGCCACCCATGGCAACTGGAAAATGTTTGAACACGTGCTAATTATGTTAATTCATTGGCTGATTGTGGTTTAAGTGTTCATTGTCTGCTTGCGGTGTCCAAAAAAAAAATGTTGGTTTGAACCTGACCCGCGACAATGTTTACCGCGTTTGTTTGTGATTTGACCCTGAAAGACATGGGAAACAATATATGTCAGCCATTGTCGTGAGTGCTGCATGTCAACCATTGCCCGTGAACAAATTCAGATTTTATGTGATAATCACTGATATTCTGCACTTCTGACTCATTGAATTCCGTGGCTGAACATGTATTTGCAATGCTGGGGTGGGAGGAAATGCGTTTGAAAAATTGACAGCTGCGATTCATTCCACTTGGATAAGGTCATTCACAATGGATCAATGGTTGTTTCGATGGCATGTACAATTTCATGTTTGGATTTGCATGATTTGCTGATAACAAGTTCGTTTTTGTCAATGTCTGTTGCAAAAATGGAACATCCCCGACAGATTCAATTCGCACAAATTTGCCGTTTCCCGCATCATGATTTTCCTGCAATGTGCGCAACAACATGGCAGTGATTGTAACAACATGTTTTCCGATCAGCATAGAAATGCAGGGTGCCAACACTGCATTACGTTTGAAACACTACAACAAAATGGTTCGAACGTTTTTAGTTTTCGCAACTGTAAACCATTCGCCAAGTTTTCGCTCTCTCAAAAGCTGGCACCCCGCTCTTTTGTGCTAGACTTGGGCCTTGAGCCACCTGTTAGAGGCGTGTCATCCTTGCGCAGTGGTCCATGACTGACATGTACAAATGCAACTGATAAAAACAAATACTATGCAGCTGATAACTGAACTGTATGCGCAAGCGAAGGCGATGGCTAAAAGCGGCTAAATGGCTAAAAGTTCACATCCCACTTTGGCAAAATGCCTTGCATTTTGCAAGTTTTGCCACGTTTTCACTACACTTGTGCTACACTGGCCACAAACCACATATTTGGCCTTTTGGTGGGTTTCGACCACCTGCTGTATTCCATTCTGAAGTCTCAATCCTTCACAGGTTGTTCTTAGCGAAGAAAAAACTGAAAACACGCACACTCTCACCAGCGCGCCGCATGCATCGATTGCTTTCGCCACTCTGCCTTTGCGTCACCACAGCTGCCATTAGCATTGATTGCCTCACACATTGATTGCCTGCGCAGCTGCGTCTTCAAATTCAAGATTCGAAGGCATCTGAGCTATAAGTTATCGATCTGGGTTCTGATAGGTTTTGCTTCTTCATTGTCACCACTTCTTCTACTCGAGTGGCTCGACGCTGCGGAATGAACTCCTTGCATCGGCCATCGTTTGTGCAATTCAATCCTTCTCATCATCAATGTTCCCAAAACCACTTACCGCCTGGGAGTCAGAGTCGTCTCACTGCTACTCTGGTTGTTTTCACCTTCAAGTTCTCCATCGGTTCCTCCACCGGCGTCTGCTCCATCATCTCTGTCTGGAAGTTCGATCACCAAGTCTCTGCCATGTTGATTTGCTAGGTCTTGCGCCAGATGAATTGTTTGTTCAAGAGATACATCTGCCCGCATGACGATCTCATATTCACGAGGGTTGCGATCTCGTGCATCATCTTCACTTCTGTTGGCAGTTCAGCTCCTTGACGAACTGGTCGCCTCTCTGTCTTCTGACTCAACTGTTTTTTGTCCTTCTCTTTCCTGGTCTCATTCGTACTTATTGTAGTGCAAATACTCATAGATGGGTCGGGTTGGTCCATGTACTCGTTGTTTTTTCCCCATAGCCAAGCTTCGGCTGGATTACCTCTACCATTGGTCATCGCATCCTTGCTTCAATTTGTTGGATTTGGTGAACTATATTTGGTCTGCGTCACCAATCTCCAAGTACGAGATGAAAGCATCAGTCATGCCCTGCTCGCCATAACAACCATGCAAAACGAAGGTTGTTGTACATGGTGTAGACCTGAACATCTTGTGAATCCTAAAAATCAGCGCTGTCATAGTAAAGGTTGCGGCCAAGTTTTCGCGCATCTCAGCTATCCAGGTAGCTCGATCAGCTCGAACACATGATTTGTTTTTTGTTCCAAAAGGCCCAACAAAAGCCCGAGACCTCAACCGACCCCAAACAGGGGAAAAACCAAACAAAAAGCACCGGCCAGCCCGAAAGAGGCGCAGATGCAACGGCACGGCGCTCCACAATGCCAGGTGGACAGGCAACAATGATGGCAAGCCAATTGAATGAACATGCGACCAATCCGTCTTTTGCACATGCGCCAGCCAAGATTGAACAGCCACCATGTCAACCCGAGGGTTCGATGCAACCCACCCAAAACGAGACGATAAGTGCTCGCCAGGCCCCCAGGCTTGGCCGAACTGGGGTGACACGGGCAGGACCAAGCGATATGATCAAACGTGGCATGTTCCTCACAACCAAGCCAAATGCAAGTCTCAGCCACACCATGAATCAACACGACCCCCAAGCACCGCGGGCAAAAAGCAAGCACCAGTGCTGATCGCCGGAGCCTCAGGGACCGATGAGGCAAACTTCCTGGTAGCCTCCCACATGCTCATCAAAACAATCCAAGTCAGCAACCCGACGCGACGAAGACATGTGACGTTGCAAGCACCAAGCCCTCCAGGCATCCTTGACAATATGTTGCTGCGCACCAGGCTCGCCCACAACAATCAATCAAGTGAATCGTCCACTCTAATCAGATGGCCGGGTCCACCCCCGGGACAACAAACAAGCATGCAAAGCATGAGCAGGAGAGTCACTCCGAGTGGACCAAGTCAAGACGCGCCTGTTGTGCAAGCAGACCAACCAACTGAGCGTAGAACAACACATCAAGATGCACGCCGCTCCCAAACAAGGCAGCGCGTAACCACACCGAAGCAGACCGAATGCGGCGACTGCCAACATGCACACAGCTCCACAACTGCACACAAAAAGGCAAAGGAGGGGCACGCGCAATCCAACCGTAAGCAACTATGGAAATGGCAAACTGACGGCAAGCTCTCATGTATCTTTCAAAAGACAGGCGGGTGCAAGCCAACAGCCAACAAGGCCCAAACCCGTCTACAAGCATCCACCCAGGCCGACTCCTTAGGAAGAAGGCTGCGCCGAAAAATCATGCTGCAAGAGCCAAGCAACTCCACATCATTGGCAACAACCTCAGGCAATGTGCGCCGCAGGGTCGGTCGGCGAGCCGGCGTGGAACCACCGCGACAGCTTTTGCATTGTTTTCAAACGGGCCAACGGAGGTAGACCACGCGCACGGGACGACGCGAAAGAGCGGTCGTCGACATACACACGAGACATGAAATGAGGGTCAGGATGTGAAAACACAAGAAGCGGCGCAGCAATTCCTTCACAGCTCGGACTTGAGCCAAAGCACACAGGTTTGACAGCTCAGTCACTCTTCTTCTTAGAAGAGTTGTGCAGAGTAAAACGCAGTGACACTCAAACGTTTTCAAACTTCTCAAACTACTTCAAAAGAGTTCTCAATCTTCCAAAACGATCTTCCAGCTTCTCCAAATAAAACGTCTTCAGCTCAAACTCACAAATAACCTACAAAACTCCTACCAAATAAGTTCACAAGAGCAAGATCCATGGGTCAAACAACATCCCAAAAACACCAAAACCCACAAAAAAACAAACGAAAATCCATCTCCGAGCTCTTCCATGCACAAACTGGTGCAAGGACATGTATCCTACGATCCAAGATGGACTATTTGTGCACGTGGCAAGTCAACCTTTCAACATCGTCGACGTCGTGAAGGCGTTCTTGAGAGAAGTGCAAGCTGATTTTGGTTTTCTGACCACCCGTGGTGAAATGGTTGATGAAGCTGACGGAACAATTAGTTCTGGTTTTGAATGAACTCTCGACACACTGTGTAGGCTAATGTCATAGTGGGGCAGGAGGCGCGATCTGTGAAGAACAAAATTTTCAAGTGGCTACATCATTTTGGTCTTACTTCTTCAAGTTCTTCCGTTGTCCTGCATACTGATGCCGAACATGCTGTGTCAGAATTTGTTGCAACCAGTACAGTGTACTGAACCACCTTGAACCTACTTGAACATCTTTTAAACCATCTTGGAACAATGCATGTGCATGTAAACAGTTACGAAACCATCTTAAATTTGAAATATAGAATCCATAGGAACCAGGTAGGAACCAATTTGGTGTGTGGGTCTCCAATACAGCCTCTGCTGCACGGCTCAAAAGATTCAGATTTCCACTGTCATCCACCGCATTCATTCCTTCTGACATGATGAATGCTTCATGCTGTGCAGACGTTTCAGAACCACTATACATCCATGCAGGGTCCAGCTTAACGGAAGAACATCCACCAAAGTTACTAATGTCATCTGACCTCAAACCTGATGCACAATGAGTAACCTCAGCACCTTGTGGATTCTGATTAAATTCCATCCCCACTCACAAAGGGTGTTTGTAGAAATCATGTTGTGGCTGATGCCACCTACAAGACACTTCAACTTCTTGACGGTACACCGGAAAAGTTCCCAAATTATCATTTCCTTTTTGAATCCAACCCAAACAGAAACTGTAGGCGTCCATCAATGTTTACTTTACTGCCATTGGCCGCTCATTCTCAGAGTTTACAGCCCTGCACCGTATGTTTCTCTTGACGCAGTGGCCATAACTGTTGCCGCTGCACCGGAGTCCAGTAACCACCATGAGAAACAAGATCCTGAGAGATTGCAACATCACCTGAAACCTCTACTACACCTTGCAAACCACACTCAAAGGTCACCGGACGGTAGAGTTTCCTGTAAAGTCTCTGCAAAGTTCGGTGGTCCCTGCAAACATGCCACATAACAAATTGGAATCCACCTGTGGTGTCGTTTCATGCAACCATCCAAAATCTAAATTCCAAAGCTGACATGTCTCAGTTTTCGTTTCGTCTTCATTCTGCTGTCATCAATTCATCACGAAAGTTGGTATGTCATGCAGGTTCCTGGTCAGAACAAAAACTGTACCTCGGGTT